ATGTGGCAGTGTACTGTTGATATTTTTAATTTGTCATTTTTATTAACAACGTGGATGGTATTAAATGATAAAAATCAAATAGCTAAACCAAGGAATTGTGTTGTTGTGCTAGGTTTTTATTTTGTTACACTTTTTAGAACTTCTGGTTCACATTCTGGTCAATACGATTTAACATTTTAGCTCCAAGATTAATGTTATTAAAAAAAAAAAAAAGAATTTAACAGATTCACCAAATAGTGGCCAGTAGGCATGGCACATAAACAATTTAAAGTTTTATCAAGAAAAATAAACTGGCACAATAAAGCTGCAGAAATCTTTTTTAATTTTAGAACAAATATGTCACCAAATACAAATTTCAAAAGACAATAGTGAAGGGACCTGACCAAACGATGATCAGAGGAGGTGGATTCTTTAACACAACAGTCCATAGTTTCCAGAGGAGGCCTTCAGTAGTAACTGACAAGAGGTCTCCTGTAGCATTTCAATGGCCAAAGTATGAGTGGGCAGTCAGACTTGTTAGTCTGACTGAGATGTTGTGGAGTGTATACGTTCGTATGGCAGTCATTATTAGGAAATAAAGAGGTTTACCAATAGAGATTATAGAGAAGTGGACATAAGACAAACTCTCTCTTTTTGTACAGTGGCCCTTCAGAAGTTTATGTAAAACAAGTTTGACCTGAGGAGAAGAGCACAAAAGGATGTTCATTTGAGAGCAGGTAAACATACAGTAAGTCATTCATCTGAGGGTTTGAGTGTGGGTTCTGTACCATACTCAAGTGTCTGCCCACCGATGTTTTTGTTGTTGTGGAGACCATTCTAATTGCCATAGAATGCAAGCAAGGCCTTCCACTTTAAACATCAATAAAAGACCACAGCAGGAAGAAGATTAGTAAAATGTCTTTGGTGTGGTTGTAGTCCTTCAGGGTCTAGGGACACAGTCGTATCTCCCAGTGAGCCAACGGAAAATAAAGGTTCTCATCAGCAAGTCTAAGCAGACATTTAACTATTGTGGTCAGGAAGGTAACATTAAACCAGAGTGCCCTGTAAGTAAAGCTAAGTGCTGTAAGTAAACCTCTGCACTGTAACCACACTGTAGGCCTTGACAGTTAGAGGGAGAGACAGTTTGACCTAGTGAGAATGAATAAAACAACGGTACACCAATGTCCCCCATCAGTTAGGGATTTAAATAGGGATTGCTTGCAGTTTTCAATATTATTTTTTTTCTGCTCTGGATTTAAACAGGAAATGCAAATAAACTTTACTACCTTGTGTGAAAGAATAGACATAGTTCTTTTGTATTTTTATTTTTTATTTGCTCAGCAGTTATCTCCATGACCAGATGCAATGGTGAGCCAGGGGGTGGCCATTGGTGGCCTTGGATACCATACATTAATCTTCAGCCACCCCACTTATTTGAGGAAACTACGCTTTCTAGTTTTTAAATTGCTTAAAAGTATAGTTTCCGCAAATGAAAGGGGTGGTTAGTTTACACAGGTATGGAGGTGGCCATCTTGGATTTTGATGTGGAAACCTAATTTTTGATAGTGACCTCTATAATGCTTGGATACAGCCACACCAAAAAGCAAGTCAGCACGTTTCTTATTTTTTCAGTTATCCAGCTCACAAGGTTTATTTGATACATATATGGCAGCAGCCATTTTGGATTTTGATGTAGCAACCCATTTTCCGAAAGGGATCTTTCCTAATCCTAAATGTTGCCACACGCCAAAACAGACCTTACTTATGTTTCAAGTTATGATGCTCATAATGTGCATGGGCAAATGGATGGACAGTTGGAGGGTAATTCCAATTCCCCATTTTCTCTACTTTCACTACTTTTTGACAGGGTACAAAAAGCCAACTTTATAGATATTTAACACGTGTAATGTGCATGCATCAGTTAATTCTTATTATCTGATTACCTATTATATGAATTTTGTCTATACATGTATCTAACATGGGCAGCACGGTGGCGCAACTGGTAGAGCTGCTGCCTCTCAGCGAGCAGGTCCCTGGTTCAAACCCCGGTCCAGGGGCCTTTCTGGGTGGAGTTTGCATGTTCTCTCCGTGCATGCATGGGTTTTCTCCGGGTACTCCGGTTTCCTCCCACAGACCAAAAACATGCTTGTTAGGCTGATTGGTAACTCTAAATTGTCCCTAGGTGTGAGTGAGAGAGTGAATGGTTGTTTGTCTCGTTTGTCTCTGTGTGGCCGTGTGATGGACTTGCGACCCGTCCAGGGTGTACCCCGCCCCTCGCACTGTGATTGCTGGACATGGGCACCAGCGACCCCCGTGACCCAAAATGGAATAAGCGGGTAAAGAAAATGGATGGATGGATGTATCTAACATATATATTGAATGAGTAATTTCTGCCTGTCCTGTGTCTTTCTGCACCTTCCAGTGTTTCTATGTTCCTTTGTGTTTTTGCTGCTATGCACACCTGACTCAAATCCTAAATCCATGTATCCTTGAATTAATAGGAAATGTACGATTACCTCAACACACTGACCACCTCCAATAATACCTAGGAGATGTATGTGGTCACTCAAATCGTTATTAGGGAGTTTACCCGACTTCCTGGACTAATATATACCAGAGATGTGGGACCTGTTTGATGTGGTGGTGAAGGAGGAGAGGAGGCTGCACTCCTTGCTACTGCTGCCCATCACTCCCATCACCAATCAGCCTGGTTGTACTTACGACTAGTCTGTGTGAGAGAATCCATCCACAGACCTCCCTTCTCGTTGGCGACACAAGAAGGGCTGATGACAGAACCAGTCTGGGTCTGCCGAACTCCAGCTACTCTCTCCACCCGAACACCCTCAAACCCACCAGGGAGAGAGATTAAATTTTTGCATGGGAGTGGGGCACCAGAGCCCTCACTCATCAGGAGAGCGGTCAAGTTCTCACTCATCAGAGGAGCTGAGCCCAGCCAAACCTCCTGCTGGTCCCGAGTCCCCTACTGGCTCCAAATCTCCTGCAGACCCCACGTCTTTAGTGAGCCCCAAGCCTCTTGTAGCTCCCGTGGTAACTACGCCTCCGAAAGCTCCTGTAGTAGCGCCGCCTCCGGTAGGTCATGTGGTAACTATGCCTCTGGCAACTCCTGTGGTAGCTACACCACCTGCAGTCCCTGAAGCAGCAACGCCTTCTGCTGTCCCTGAAGCAGCCACACCTCTTCAGACGATGAAGCAGCCGAGCTCACCTCAGCCGGGGGAGCAGCCAAAACCACCTTCTTCTGTCTGCACAAGGTTTGGCCATGTCTCTTCACACTCCAGTATGTATGTGGGCCTTGGGGACAACAACCCACACTCATGTGGCTCAGTGGGCATCAGTGACATAGACTCACACTCCTGTGTCTCCGTGGGCGTCGGAGACGACGACCTATCTCTGGTTTCCATACCAGCTGCAGCCCCTGAGGTCTCTTCACCTGCTGCTGAACTCACCCCCAAAGATGGACGGTCTCCTGGCCGTCCACCTAAACACCTGTCTCACTCTGGACAGCCTCCTGGCCATCCACTTGAACTCTTGGGGGTTGGTGCGCCCTCTTTTTTTTGTTCTTAAGTTCCTACCTGCCAGTTTTTCTTTTTTCCCATCCTTGGTCCTTGTGCCCTCCGTCCTGTTTCCTCCCCGCTCCCACCCGAGTTATGTGGGATTCTTCCTTTGAGGATGTCGGGTGTCATCCCTTTGGGGGTTATGAGACGTGTCTGCCTGTGCTGTCTTTCAGCATCTTTCCAGTTTTTCTATATTCCTTCATGTTTCTGCCCCTATGCACACCTGACCTGAATCCCAATCACTGCAGGTGTTTCCCACTCGTTTCATTAGCGTCTGTATTTAGTCTGTGTTTTCACTCCCCTGGTATCCATGCATTAACTATCCCTCACACAGTGGCATGATCTTTACCTGCTCTGTCTTGTCATTAGCTTTTGGCTGCCCTGTCAGCTCCCTTTTGTTTTTGTTAAATAAATGTTATTGTACTTACTTGATCTTGGAGTTTGTTGTGATCAGTCTGCACGTGGGTTTCAACATTAATGCAAAATCATGTCATAGACTTATAAATGTCAAACATCCTGCAAATTCCAAACTGGCTGTTTAGTAAAAAGAAATGGCTCATCAACACATTTTTTTGTAATAGTTTTGGTTTAATACAAAATACATCAAAATTAAGCTAATTACAACAAATTTAAAAACTTTTGAAATTGACCAAGGGCTTAATATTAACGGTTGTCATGAAAAGGGCTTATCAGCTTTGATACAACTCTGTTTATACAAATGTAAAGCAAATGAAGGTTTAGATTTGCATAGGGACTGGACACTTTAAGTGATTTTATATTTGTTAGAAGTGTCTGTATACTTTTTAATCACAAGGTTTATATAAAAAATAAACAACAGGACTTATTTTCAGTCAATCAATGCAGAACTACAGAACAGAAATAAGTTTCCTTTTTTTTTTATTTGTTCTTTGTTTTGCCATGTCTGGAATGACCGAGAATCGACACCAGCATACTATAACCTGTTTTATGTCAATAGTACAAATGTTTAGACCTAATTTTGTTGATTTGCTGAGACACATACCCAACTAGTAACTGGGATCATACTGTTTTATAAGGAATAACCACCAAATAAGCTATTTCACATACTTTGCAAGAATTTAAAGCTGTTTTCTCCTTAGCAGACGATTATAAATTGAGTATTTTGGCACCGAATAGCAAAGCAATTAGAGACACTGCTTGTTTATCACAGTCTTACGCAGAGATCGCGAGTCTCTGTAACAATAACACACTCATACACAGTCAGCCCTTTATTTCTCACTGCTCTATTCTTACAACTGATTCCCATCCGCTTACTGTGTAACCACACTGACCTCGCCGTCATATTAGTCTCCGCCCCTTCGACGCCACGCCAACCTAATGACAGCTAGTCAAATTGACCAATAGGATCTGGACTTTCCAAATAAGGCAAACCTCATTGACCAATCATATTGTAGGAGAGGCGGGTTTTTTTGTGGGCCTGAAGTTCAAGTTCGGTTGTAAAAGGTAAGCTTCGGGTGGAAATTTGTGAGTTTTCTTCAACGTTAAATTTATTTTCAGAGCTGCAATTTATACAGCATACATATATATGATAGTGTGTTTAATGTTTGAGCTTAAACAAGGTTTGTTGTGTAGCACTCGCTCATTGCTAGCTTGGCTAAGTGTCCAGCACTGTAAAGTGTCCCAAGCACAGAGAACAACGGTGATTTTTTTTTTTGTCTATCATGTCAGCCTTTTATTAAAGCTGATAAATGACCGTATTGTTTGTTGCAAAACGTCCTGGTCGCAGCTTGTTCAGACTGTCAAGCTATTTCCGTTACTTCATCATAAAGAAGTTAGACCGTGTAAGTTTGTTTCCTTTAAAAGAATAACCAGTTAATTTTATGAATGCGTTGCTTCTGTTTTCATACTGCTGTTTATTGTTTTTAGCTAACTTTTAGCCACGTTTGTTTACATGTTAGGAAACCGTTAAGAAAACGGCTGCTCTTGCAAGATGCCCCTACTGAATATTAAGCAAGTCTACGCAGGGAAACACGTGTGAATTTGTTCAACGAAACGCCCAAATATTCTGTCAGAGGTAGTTGTTAATTGTTGTTTGCACAATGTTGTACTTTCAGAAAGCTGTGTTGTGAACAGACTTAAGCGCTGCGCCCGGGGGAAGAGAACAGGACTCTCAGAACCACACCTCTCCGGTTCAGGCAGCCTTCTCTTCAACATTCGGATGCTGTTTGGAAGCACACGACTTTCCCACTTTTGAACGGAATGAGTTTTGAAAACACCTAACCTGGATGTTTTTGCCCGTGCGAGTTTTGTGAAAGGCCGAACTTTTGGGGGGAGACGCGTTTCCGGAACTTTAAAACTACAATGGACCAAGCCAGCGGTGGGGAAGACCCGAATAAACCCTCCAAAAAGAAGTCCAACGAGGATGAGGGTAAAAACAAAAAGCTGGTATGTATTTGGAAGCAGTGTTGCATGGAAGTAGAGATTGAGAGAACAGTCACATCCTGAAATCCTATAATTATTGAGAAAGTTGCTTAAAGTTCTACTGCTCTGTAGGTTAAAACATCTGTAAACATGCTGTCAGCACAGGACATTTCTGTTCAGTGATGGATGAGTCTGAGACATTAATGTGTTATTACTTTTTAATGTATCCCCACACTGAGTGGTTAATAGCAGTTCGAGTTGAGCAAAAGATCTACTTTTACGCTGAGTGCTTCACTTTTTCAAGGCACTAAGTGGATCATATGATTATCTTATCAATTCTCTCCCTGAAAGTTTTCTGAAGAGCACTCCTGTTGTGACAGCTGGACATAAATACTGCGTGTACAACGTACACAGAAATGTTACTAGGTGACTTATTGTGTGGATGGTGTCAGTGGTGTTTGTGGTGGTTTTATGAACGCTGTGAGTGTGTGTAATTGATAAAGCAAAACTTTGGTCATCCTGCGGCCAGTGTGTTTCAGATAACACCTTAAAGGAACAGTTGGTGTTTATTTCATTTATGGTGCCAACATCAGCATGGCCTGGTGCCAGAGTTCATGTAGAGAGAGGAGCGAGTCTGTTCAGATAGGGGGCAAACCCGAATCATTACTTGGTCTCGAGTGTCACTCTTAGATCCTGTGTGGATGATCATACCTGATCAATGTGGCTGAAGTTTTGTTGCGGCTGCTGTATGACGTGTGTACTTGAAACTTTTAAAATGTCAACTTGGTTGGTGATTTTACTTGTTGACTGTGTTGAGTGTATCTTTCTGTCCTGCATATCTGAAGCCAACATCTGCCACATTAAACAGGGTGTAAAGAACAAAGCTCTGCCACCATGCTGTCAGCAGCTTTAGAAAGTACAGTCAGTGAGTAATTCTGTCATTAAAGAGAAAAAAAATGTGCTTGTGGGTGAGATTAGTGTGGAAACTTTAATGCTATTAAACTTTCTGCATGATGTCACTTCTCATTTTCCAGTAGTCAACTTTTTTGCTAAATTCTTGACATTAGCTCAAGGACTACATGCATAGAACTCTGACATGGACCAAGTTGAAGCTGTAACGGGACCAGCCTCCCTATCAGCTGGTTCAAGTTTTAGATTTAGATTTATAGTTTGGCGAGCTCAAGAATTTATATTTAGATTAGAGAGATTGGACTTGTTGAAGATCATGACTGGGATCATAATTTTTATTTTGGCCTTCTACAATTTTTTGTCATCATAGAATATTAAAACATTGCTGAAAGATTAGAATTGGACTCTGAATTCAGTAACAGAACCCCATTCTGGGCCATGAAACATCAAGTGTGGGGTTTTGAGTTCATGTCTCAAATTCAAATTAAATTTAAAATGAATTGCAAACAGCTTATTTTTCCATACTTGCTATTACAGATAAAACCAGTAGTCATAAATAAATACAAAGAGCACAATGATTGTCATCAAAGTTAATGCTCAATAATCCAGGTAAACAAATTCAACAAAGTTAAGTCAGGTCCTCTGGACGGTTTCTCTTTTTGTTGAGATGTTTCGTCCTTCATCCAAAGGACTTATTCAGTCCGACGAGCCACAACAATGAACCACTTTGGCTATGGCTGCCTCAGAGGAGTCGATGGGGGGGGGATGGTGGACTCCAGAAACCTTACCATAAAACTGGTTGTCCCACTATGTGAGTAAGCCACTTACGGGACTGAGTTTGTTGTGGCTCCTCGGACTGATGAAGTCCTTTGGATGAAAGACTCAGCGTCTCAACAGAAATAAAGAAACCATCCAGATGACCTGACTTAGCTTTGTTGCACAATAATTATCATTACTCTCTGTCATTATGATTAATTGAGTAATTAAACATGTTTAAATGTAATTCAGTCATTTATAGTTGGGGTTTCAAGTCTCAGCTACTGTTATTTATTTGGGGTGGCTGTAATTGGAGTGGTTTGATTCCTAAATCTGAAAAAAACTGCATTCTTGGGTAATTTACATCAGTTGATCCTGATGATATGAGTGGGAATAAATGGAGCTGAGCTCATTTATTCTTTAGGCTTGTCTGTGATTGCATCAGGACCGTTTTAAGTTTTGTTGCACAGTACCACTGCATCATAGGCCGAGACGTTGGGTTATGATTTTTATGCAGAGACTACATCTTGAATTTGATGAACGCTATGAAAATAAGTTTACCTTGTGACATGTGGGCATTTTTACTAACCCTAATGATGCACCTAAAACAAAACAAACAAAAAAACATGTGGGATTTCCTGCTGGTGAAATGCAGCCAAGCTAACATTTGGCTGATTGACATAGGCTAAAGTTTTTATTTGAATGTCCAGCAGGTTTGTGGTGATGCACTGAAATGCCACGTGTGACCACATCAAATTTAAGTTTATTGTTGCATTTTGTGTATATAGTTGTCCTAAAACCTACAACAACCTAAAATTACTGTTTATCTGAGTGGAATGTTGTAAACTTGAAATTGCCAATTGTTCAGACTAAAGTTAAGGCAGAGGAAGGTTTGACGTGCCAGACAGGAAATCCCAGAGTGAACTCGTGTGGCATGTTCTCCCAGAGCCAGGGTGTTGTTTTGAGAACATGTGAGGACAGCCTGCTATGCATATCCTGCCTCCAAAGTTTAAAATGACTTCACCACTTACCAAATCCCTTCAGAGCAGTCTATGCAAGATGACTGCTTTTAGTTTCATAGAGCAGTCCTATGGGCGGTCATGTTCCTTGTTGCTCAATTCTCCTCAAGCCCAAACTGTTTGCAAAAATCTCAACGTGGCTCTGACGGAGGAAGTGATTATTCATCCCTGGGTGGAGCCGTAGTTTCTCCTCTTTTGTCTATCCCACTTATGCACACTATGGGCTCAAGTTTGTATTAATGTAATAAATATTTTTCTAAAAGAATATAAGTACTCGTCGGTTAAAAAGGCATATAAAAGAATGTGGGACGTAGTTTAGGTTGCCTCTTAGTCCTCTAATTTGCCTTCAGCAAAATCACGTCAAGCTTTGGAGAAAAAAACACTTAAAGCTGTGTGTTTGCTCAACAAGTCACTGGGCTCGATTACATCACAGCAACACGATTTGGGCTATGGGCCCATAATGCAGATACTCAGCATAGTCAAGGACATTCAAATACCTTAACGCTGTAACAATCCTAAAACCTGTCAGCAGTTTGTTTCTTTTTTGAGAGAAAATGGAAGTATGCTTTGCTTTCAGGCAAATGCAAGGTGCTCATTTAAAAGAATTCAGTGGAGCTGGTCTGACATTAAGAAACATTCCCTCTTTGTATACGAGAGTAAAAAAATGCCCTGACAATGCAAAATGAGAGACGACTCTTCCTACTCTGTGCAGATTACAACGGGGCAGTATATGTTTGACCGTGCATATTTTCAACCTACATGACGATTAAACAGACACTTTTATATGTGTCTGCTTTAAAGTGTTTTTTAAAAACGTTATCAGTCATTGTTAACTTTTATCTTTATACATCTTTGTAAATATTGCATAACAATACGGCTTATATGTTTAGTCAAATCAATTCATTTTGTAAAAATTAAAAGGAAAAAAGGGGTTCAGTGCCAAATGCGGTAGTCCCTCGCTACTTCGCAGTTCATTTTTCGTGGACTCGCTCTATCGTGATTTTTCAAAATAAGATTGGACATGACACACAATCGGCTGATTGATGGATGAGCCGCACGATCGGCACAGATTTTTTTAATTCAAAAATAAATTTAAAATTATTTAGCACCAGCTGCAAGCTTCCTCCTGCAGCATGTCAGACCTCTGCTCTGCAGCAGAGAAGTGGGCGTGGCCATAATTATTCCTACTTTGTGGTTTTTCACTTATCACGGGGCCTCAGGGTACCGATCCCCCACGATAAACGAGGGACTACTGCACTGCAAAATGATTTTATAACCCGGTGTGTACCTGTACTAACAGTTTAACAGTTATTTAATAAAAGGCAATTTTAAAAGTCAGTACAAGTAGCATGCCTGTGGACATGCACTGAAAAAAAAAAGGCTCATGTTGCATTGACTAAACATGGGTCACTAATAAAGTTAACATAGGTAACTGTATTCACATATCAAAGTTCTTCTCATTCCTATACTTCATGCTGTATTCTTATACTATATTTTCTAACTACAGAGACTGAGAAGTAGCTTTTCTAGAGTGGTGTTGCCATGGAGCTACTTGATAGTTTTTATGATGCGCGGTCGTGTTGAGCTGATGTCAGGACCTTTGTTTCTCTGCAAAGTTTGCTAGCTTGTGGAAAATCATGCACCGTTTTAACTGGAACACTGAAGTTATGCAACAGCAGCTATGTGATGGGATAGATTGCAGCAGCAACACATGTAGGTTTAAATAGTTTGGCGCTCTGTCAGTACCAGTTATTTGGGCAATACTTCAGTCAGTACGTTTTTGATAGCAACATCACATCGCCATAGTTGTGGATGTGCATTAAAATACTTGAATTTAGATTTGTAAACATGTTTGTATTGAACTGAACAAAGTGTTAACAAATGAAACTTGAAGTTACTGTAGTAATTTGAACTTTGCACTTGCTGTGTTTTTGTCTTATTCTGAGGATTGTTGTGTCATCACACAATATACCAAGGTTTGTCTTTATCCATCCATCCGCCTTCTACAGCTTTAAACTGTAGTTGGATCCGTAATCGGGTTGCAGAGGCAACAGGTCCAGGAGAGAAACCCAGACATCCCTCTCCCCAGCGTCACTTTTCAGCTCGTTCTGGGGGATCTCGAGGTGTTCCCAGGCCAGAGAAGATGCACGATCCCTCCAGTGACTTCATGTCTCTATATCTTTTTATGATTAGTTACATTTCTAATCGGAGACTGATCTGGTTTGTTTTAAAAGACATGAGTCATTTATTATAATTGTATTTTGTTCCAAACCTTAAAAGCATCAACCTGTTTAAAACAGGTCTGTCCTGTAAATGAGTCCTCAAGGCTCAATGAGACCA